TAAGATAAAGGCCTTGCATCCAATTTCATTTATGTGCATGTATATACATAAAATATATATTCCTGCAAAGAAGTTAGTGCGCAAATCACAAGATACAACAAAGAAACCAACTGTTGCTATAGAGTTCTCTCTCCTCTTTGAAAGTGTGTGGGGGGTCATATATCTATATATCTATGGCTCTATATTCATATATAGATATATGTATCAAGAGAAAGATAGACAAGGATGTTATCTTCCTGTATTCTTGGCAAGGGATTAGTCCTGAAGTTAGGATGAGTGAAGGTAGGGTTGAGGTTGGAAGGAAAGGTAACGAAGAGGGCATACCGCTTTCGGCTTCTGCAAACGACAAGAAAAAAATTGCAAATCAAACACTTTGATAAGAAATCAGCTGACACTAAAACAAAGGCAAAAAAACCCTTTTATTTCAAGTCCTCCAAATGCTGCAACATTTTTTAAAAAGGTTTTTCTGCTGAGAATGAGGACAAATAAATGGAGAGACAGGGAGAAAGTTCAACAGAGGAATAAACATAGGGTACGTGAGAGAAGAACGTTGGTTGTCTTTCCATTTTTACTCTTGCTGGCAAAACAAAAGAATGGTTCTCTGTCAAACTTGTATTTGAGGGAAAAGATGTGAGTTTTATCAGTGACTTTGTATCCTACTGATGGAGTAACTAGTTTTTTTACGCACTGTCTTTCTGGAGTGCTCCTGGATGGGATTTTTCAGGTATGCTTTTGACTAAAAATGATATCCTCCTTTGGGATTCAGGACATCAGGAAGCAAACTGAATCCATCCCCTTGACAAGCTCAGCAAGCTCGGTCTGGTTGACGCAAATTGCAAAATGCCGTGGCACACACTGGGGGGAAGTGTCTCAGAAGCCCCCGTTCCAAAGAAACACCAGCTTGTCCCAAAACACATGCTCTTGACATCGAGTTCTATTTCTTTCTCATCCGTTTCTAAGCCAGTGTCCTGACAATCGCTTGCGAAAGACCTGAAGATGGCATGGCAGCACCATCACTGTACATGGCACACATATTTGTTCTCCCTACTCTGTTTCGGAAAGCTCGCTGCCTCTATGACCAGGGACCTCTGTGAGACAGGAATTCAAGCCCATGCCATTATACTGACCAGCTTACTGGGAAAATCTTGTTCATATGTCCAGGTCTAGTTCTAAATAGCACAGGTGGGCATTTCTGGACAGTATGGCAGCAAACCAGCAATTCAGCTGATGCTGTTGGCAGGAGTTAGCGTATGCCTCCCTGAAAGCCACTGGAGATCTGGTTTGATTGTCCACGGACTCCAAGTAGAAGTTCTCCCTGACATTTTCCAGGCTGCAAGCTAGAATGGGAGAAGGGTGGAAGCACCTGCCGAGGACTTGGGGCCTTGGGACACCTCAGCTTTGCTCGGCAGACTCTGAATGGGGTGGTCACCCCGTGTTCAGTGCCCCTCCAGTAGGAAATTTCAAGTGATCTATTTTCCACGTCATCATACGAGGAAGGATTTGTATCAGCTCCCCTTGAAACTCTAAGCTCCCATTAACTTGAAAGGAAGATAAATTGCCCACTGCACTATGGAAGGGAGAAGGGAGGTGGAGTGCTACATCCCATAAGCATGTTAGGAAATGGCAATAAAAGAAATTATTGCAAAGAATCAGAGCAGGAATTCTTGGAGAGAAGAGCAAATGAATAGCATGTAAGTAATTGCTCCTAAAGCTGCTTTTGCATTGCCCATTCTCATAATAAGCAACATTGATCATAATCAAATATCAGCTTTACACTGATGGATGAACCATGAAGCTGCCCAATGGCGTCATTTATTTTGGCTGCACTCCTGAACTGAAAACACTCCCAAGTGTGTGGCTTTTTGAAAATGGAATGCCTTTGAAAGAAATAGATGTTAGTATTCGACAACACAAAACAAACAGCTGGGATCACATACACCCTCTTTACATATCACTTGTCACAGGAGATATGTAGGACCAAGCGTGCACGGCTGTGCTCCAAACCCCAGCATTACAAAGAGCTCTGAATCTGTGTTTTCATAAAGCACTTTTGTCACTGTGGAGAAAACGAATGGGGTCCAACCATTTTGGGGAGGAATCTTGGAGGAACTGTGGCAGGCTGAGGAATGAATGGCTGGCCTAGGGACCACCCGAGGCAGGTGCTGGAGCACCTTGAGCACCACCTGAGGGTCACTACGGAAGGTGCGTCCACAGGTGAGGCTGTGGGGAGGCCAATATACATGGCAGTGATGAGAAGGAGGGGTTCTCACAGTGGCCACTCCCTGGCGGTGGACAGGACTGCGGAGGGAGGTTGACTCCCTCCCTCCCTCCCTGCCATCCCTGTGCTAGCAGGTCAAGACCTCTTCATTGGGCTGGATTCTATTTTACTCTGTGGTTGTTTGTTGCTTTTTAACCATGCTTTAATGTACTTGCGTATTATTGATTTATTGAGCTGTCTTAGTGCTTGTGAGTCATCTTGAGTGGCATTTTTGGCTGAAAGGTGATCTAAAATCAAATAAATACATATCTCTCAAGGGATAATGCATCTTTGTGGGGAAAGCTCAGTTCAAATGGCAAGACGCCCTGCCTGGATCTAATCAGGACGTCTCTTTTTCTCCTCATCCTTGCTTTTACGAATGCTGAAAATTGCCTCCTGTTCGCATCAATGTTCAGGACAGTTTCAGTACAATTCCTCAGGTGCCATTTTCTTTTGTCAGTGTTGCCCTCATCCTCATTTGCTAACCTTGCTGTTGAAAACTATTGGCTGCGGCAAACCATGTGATTTGATTAAGTCCATTAAAGTGCTATGTCACGAGGACATTGCAGACTTTTGTATGCAAAACAGCATGCGTCGCCCACTTTGGGTGAGGGTCTTCCAAAAGCACTATCTGATTATCTTGAAAATGACCTGAATTTTCCTGGGCAGTTTTACCAAAACTTTCGCCAATACCAGAATCCTCTTCTTAGTTCCCCATTCTTCTGTTCCCCTATGAGGGTGGGTAAAATATACTGGGGGGGACCAGATCAGGTGTTCAGACACACAATCTTGACGGTTGACCTGTGAGGGCAGCTTTTAGATCCCCTGCCCCATTTTCCCTCTGTAGTTTCTGTTTCCATCCTACACAGTTAAAAAAAAAAACTTTCAGTATTTTCTAGGAGAGTTGGCAAAAAATGCCCTAGAGGTGAAAAGGGGAGGGGGAGTACCTATAATCTATAGGGAGCAACTTTTGACACCCTTTCCAATTTCTCTTCACTCAAAAAATTGACTGACAGGATGGTGGCTCGGAATGCCAACATCCCCATTTAATGTTCCTCGGGCTATGTAAGCCATGGATTGGCAAGTGAAGCCAGAAATCCCTCTCCTGCTTGGATTTCAACCAGTGGGAGAAGAATTTGAGCATCCTAAAAGCTTGTCCCTCCTCTGAGCAAGGCTTCGGCAGTACTCCAGTGTTCATTTCTGAGTCTTGCCCCACCATAGGATACCCCAGTAAGAGGCAACATGGGCAAATAAAGCCAAGGACTGCAAAGATGAAGACAGAGAAAATGGTGCTGAGCTAAGAGAAGGGGGCACCAAACAATATTGCAGTGTAAATGCTTGCCGGAGTCGTCCCCCTCCTCCTTGAATATGCTGTATAATTTCAATGCTTGCTGCTGTGAAACGCATTGTTAATTTCACAGCAGGAATCAAACTTATACAAAGTTTGGCCTGGAGCTACACATAATGTTTATAAGAGATTCTGTGCACTGATGCACATGCTTGTAGGGTCTGCAAAGCCTGGTCTGGTCCATTGTCTTTTCCAATATTGATAAAGCAGCACGAAAAAGCAAGGTTGAGGGGAACAAAGGGCGTGGCTGCATCAAGGGGGTGCTATTTTTGCCGTGCTTTATCAATGCATTGCCAATCGGGTGGGAAGGGAGACATCAGTGCAATCTGCGCTGCCGCAAGCTGCACGGGCCGATTCCAGAATTAATTTCAGAAATTCACCTAATTAAACCAGACTTGGGAAGTGGAGGGATGCAGGGTAGAGCAACCTCATGAGCAACAGAGGAGTGGAACTGGGAAAACACTGCTCTCCCTAAGCAGGCAAGAGTTTGGACAAAGGGCCTGCTAGACTTGCAAGCATGGCTGTCACAAGAGACAGGTGAAGGTTTATTCAAAGGTTTATTATCTTTGAACCTTTATGATATATTAAGTATTACTATATCATATGGGGATGTAATAGTAGATGAGTGTGCACCGGGGTTGCCTTTTCCCCTAGTGGGGTTTCCTGATCAAATCTCCACCTGTCTAGTTTACCAGTCACAAAAGAAATCATGTGTGGACCAGCCACTTTCTTCCTCACCCCAGAGGTGGCACACAAGCTGGGGAGAAGCAATTTTGATTGGGGAAATGGGATTAGGGGGAGGGTGAAATACCTTCACCTCCCCCCATGCCTTATTCCAATCCAGATGCTTGGAAAGGTAAACTGCACGTCAGTTAAAACAATCCGGTGAGGAGCTACTCCGTAAGGGCAGCAGTTAGTTCAGTACTAGCACAGGTTGCTTGCATTCCCTTGCTCATTCCTCCTTTCAGAATTTGCTTCTTTTTCCTTCTGACCAGGCCAAGAGACTCAGACTCCTTTCCTGGCCTTCCCAAGGCTCTCACTCGCCTGCCTGCGATGCTCGTCCCTTTTGTTGAAATTTGCATTCAGATTCCTCATTGAGGTGCATATGGGGAGGGAAGGGCTGAAGTCCCCCCAAATACTCCACACCTTAAAAGCAGCAGAAATTAGAACATGCTTGCTTTTGACCCACTTTATGAGAATCTGGTTCAGAGGCGGGATGATGCAGCCATTTGGTTGGGTTATGTGAGCTGGTGGAGTGATGACATGATAATTAGGATATAAAACGTTCTCATGGGTATAAACACCCATTCAGAAAAAGGAAAGAAAGAAAGAAATCAAAGCAGGCCAAATTATCAACGGTGCATTAGTGAACGTGTTTTGGAGACAATGACATACCTGCTTTCCCGTTTCTCCGACTTATATTCTATGGCTATCATTAAGAGCTTTAGCTTCGCAAAGACCAGTCTGCCAGAAGGAAAAAGAAAGCATGTCACTGCATCATGCATAGAACTAAACACAATTACAGATAAACACCTTCTCACAAAAAGTATGATCCAGACACAATTCAGCTGGAGCAACACCGATGATGTTGTCAATCCTACCATAAAACTATGCCATGTCAAAGAATAGTTCTTAACAAAATTCTCACAGTACAGTCCTATATACATTGCAACCCCCAAAATAAGTCCAAATGTATTCACTTAAACTTACTCCAAAGACATATGCATAAGATCATAGCCTTAAGCTGCTCATACTTGGCTTCAGTTCCAGGATGGATAGAGAACTGTTCCCCTGGCCATGTATTTGTTCTTTTCAAAAAAGAAGCTATCTTTTCAGGTGCACAGCATCTTTCCCTAGGTAAACATCGATTGGCTGCCGTTCCTTTTTTTAAGCCAGCCATTTCTCTTACTTGAAGGACTACTACAAGCAGGAAGGGAGTGACAAGATGACTTTCTGAACGGCCAGCCAATCATCACCCTGCGCTTCTGGTTGGGGAAATGGGTGTCTCTGTGACCATCAGAAAGGACAGTAAATCTGTACTTTGCAGAGCCATTTTAACTTGAAATTGGAAGGATCCATTGTTCCTGAGCAAAACTCAGTGCGGGAGTTTGAGCATCTATCAAATGTGGGTAAGTATTGGTGGATCGTCTAGGTTTACCAGTTGCAGACAGAGCCTGGACTATGAAACATTTTCCTCTCTAGCCTCCTGCTTTTGTGTCTTCACAGAGCTTTGAAAACCCACCCTGAACAGAGACTGAAATGCTCGAGAAATATGGGTGCAAGCTGCAGACTCTGACATGAAAAACGTTTCTTTCAAAAGAAAATACAGTGGTAATTTTACGTCCAAGGACTAATTTTCATACACATTGTTCTGCCATAATGCATGTGTATTTATTGCTCCCATAATAAAGACATATAAAACATTTTATATGAAGGAATTATCGCATGACTGACTTCTTTACAACCCCCTGTATTATGGATTCTACTTATTTATTTATCGGGGTCTATCAAGGAGCCTGTTGTGATACACATGCTGATAGGTTGTATGTCCTGAACATCAGATGCAAGTCCAAGAAAGAATGATTTAACAAGATTGGGCATGGGGGGCAGTTAATACTTCTTAAAATTCAACAGCAGTAAGCATCCATTTTATGAATAAGATGTCCATCTTAAGTTAAGATTGTACGAATCTGACTTCTCCATTTTGCAGTTCCCGCGGGAAAGGAAAGGATCTCTCAAAAAGGATTCCAAGCACCTTGTCAATTTACAATGCTCAGGATCCTTGAGCAAAGTGGGAACAGATGTCGCACTGCAAAATCCACACTCGTTTGTAGTGCACGCAGAGTCTAAAGAAAGGTGAGGTAAGACTGACCCGAACAGCATCGCTCAAACAAACAGCTTGGATTGCTTTCCCAGACAGAACACCACATTATGGATCACAAAAAATGAAAATGACATTCTAGGAAGCCTTAATCTCTTTCCGCTTTTGTTTAACTACCAACACTATTTATTAATGGCAACACTTTGAACACAGATGTTCATGAACAAAGGCTCCAAAGAAGCCAGGACCAACTGTCTACCTACCCAGAGGGAAATAAATTCTTTTTCTAATTAAAACTGGTATTTTTGAGGAGCTGAGCTCATCACTTGCATAAATTAGATGTGAAACCTTCTATATGGCTGGTTCACTAGAATATCCAGAGAAGTATTGTTTCCTATCAGTGCGGATCCTACAGATTCAAACTTGACTGGATGTATTTTGGAAACATAACGAATAAAGGCTGGTCAGCACTTTGCATTCAGCACTTAACCCCCAACAAAAGCAAATGGTTAGGAAGTAATTATCAAAAGGCAATGACACACAGAACCAATCCATTCCTGCCTTCCTAGAGTCATTAAATCTAAACTGCAAAATGGCGTACTTAAAAAGGGGGGGGTAAGTCCCCATAGTCTGTGCCCTAAAACCCTCATTAACTGGACACCACATAAAGATTCCACAAATGATGGGAGGAACCCCACAGTTGAAGAAATACAATTGTTTCACGTTTTCTCCCTACAGAAGATTACATTTGTAACACATGGATATTATCTTCATTAAGTAAGCATGCCTTGTTTGTTTCCTTCATTGCTGGGATTAGCAGTATTAAAGTCTTTCAGACTCTGGAGGAGAATGCTAGAAGAAGCGACTACAGACTGAAATTGCAACCTGTAGATTAGAGCAAAGATGGAGTGGAGGCATGGGCTAAAACTCTGGTCCCTGTGACTTTTCCTTCAGGCCCTGCCCATTTTTCCATCAAGGAATGCTTGCCCACACTTTCTCATTCATACGGAAATGAAAAGCATGTTTCCCACTTGTAAGATCTACCTCAGAGTGATGCTACATCATTTTTTTTTAAATTTATTTGCCAACATCTACCTCAGGGTTCCATCAGAAAGGTCTTGGCCATTTGATAAGCTGTCCTGGGCATCACCGCAGAGCAGCCTGCCATGGGAGGTGGGAAGACAGACAAGTGACCTGCACAAGCGACTGAGTACAAGGCAGAGATGGGGTTTCACCACCAGCAAAAACCCATTTCACATCAGGCACAGCTGTAACCCTCACTGTTGCAAAATGAGGGAAGAACAGGGCAGGATTTCCTGCTGCTTACTTGCCATCCCTTTAAACATTATGTTCCCATCCCTGGAAATTGCATGATTGTGTTCATACTTTTTAAAAAATGGTTTGCCTTTTGCAAGGGCACAGGAGTACAACTTTAATATATGTGTAGAATTCCTGGGTCAATTTCATTGCACGTTTCAGCAGTCCATGGGAAAGCTGAGTAGGTAACGTTCAAGGAGATGGGTGAAGTGAGGCTGCGTATAGGCTAATTCGCACACAGTTGATGAAGATGGCAAGGAAAGTAACACCCAGGGAGAGAAAGGACTGACCTGAACAATGGGAAAGTTCTGAAAATGGGGAAAACAGCAGGAGGAGGAGCACCAAAGGCATGGGATGCAAGCTGGGTGGGTAGGAAGAAAAAGTGGGAAGTCAACCATGGCAAGCTGGGATGGGCCTGATCTAACATCGACTGCAGTGTCGCTTAGTAACCGGTTTACCAAACCATGAGCGTTTGTTTTCAGCACAGCTTCTCCTGAAGTGTGAAAGGCCTCTAAGTGTGGCTACCTTTGAAGACTGCGAGAAACTTTAACTGAAAATACATTCCTGCAAATTTGTTTCTGAACACAACTTTGCAGGCAACGTAGGGATGGGTGCATCCCTTTCTGGTCACCCTTCAAGTGATCTTTCTCCACACATGCAGGAAGACTCTCAGGGAGACCTTCCAGCAAGCCCCACATTCCTGTGGTTGGGCTTACATAGATGAGGAGCCAACTTCTGTATGGATGAGGAACAGCAGAAAGTCCTCTTTCTGCAATTCCTTTTCTAAGGAAGCTCACTAATTTAGTGCTGTTCGCATCTTCAAGAAAGTAGTTAAACATCCTAATCCCAGCAGGCATGCTCTGTGTGTGAAGCTAAATGAGAATGACCTTTATTTATTGGTCCGCTCTGTATAATCTCTTATGCCTACTTTCTTTTTCTGCACAGAGACGATTTGCAGAACTAAAAATTAGCCCTGGTTGTACCAAATTTCCATAGTCCTTGAAAGTCCTCAAAGTCTTTACATGGAGAAACACACTTTCTTTTGTTGCTGCATATTCACTTTAGACAGCATTTGGTCTAACCCTAAAACATGATAAGCTATTTGCAGTTCGAAATGGCTCCAATTCTGTGTATTTTTTCAAAACTGTGTTACTAGACAGGACAAACCCATTCTTTTTCCTTTCCAAGGATGTAACACAAGCACATTTTGAAGTCTTCTCTGCCGTCATGGAAAGGTTTAGAAATTCTTCACCGTATTGACTAAAATATGCATGCTTTCGGCCCCATGTTGCAAACAGCACATTCTAATCGCCTCTGAGCTCTAATTAACCTGAGTGAAGGAGTCACATTCTAATTAAAATGTTGGATAAGTTTGAGTTATTGTATCTTTTTAATTTCAATCAGGAAACAGATAATTAAACTTCAAGATAATCAAATACTTCAAGAGTATGCCAATGTTTTGGGGTGGCTCCTAGAACTCATTAAAGGAACCTTCTTTATTGATTATTTTTACCTCAGCATGTGAGACAATTGATAACCCTGGGCTGCAGACGGGCATACCAGAACATGTCTTCAGGAACCATATGGAAACACAGCTGTCTCAAAAATGGAAAAGGCTTGGAGCTTCAGCTCCCAGTGGGCCTGATTCAGCGAAGTCTTGCTCAATGGGGCACAATTAGCAACCATACAAAATGTTGCACGGATCATTTGAGATTTTTTGCTTGGCAAATGACATTCTCAGCTAAGATTCATACGAAGCCATAAGGTATGCGAACACTGGCAATTTGTAAACTATGGCAAACCCTTTTGATGCCGAGGACTTAATCTGCAGTTCTGCTCAGCCTTAATCTCAGTTCTATTCACCGGCACAGTTGAATTCCAACCTCTGCAAGATTAGAAAAGTCACTTCTGAATATATTATTCCTCAGATCTTCCTGCATCCATATAGATGAAAGGGTTAAAGTTTTGAAAGGCAGGCAGTTACCTGGAAATCCTCTGGGCAAGGCTTCTCCTGGAGTTCCTAATTCTACCATCTACTAATTTGGGCAAGTTGTTGTTGTTAGTAGCAAAGTCGTGTCCGACCCATCGTGACCCCATGGACAACATTCCTCCAGGCCTTCCTGTTCTCCACCATCCCCCAGAGTCCACTCAAGCTCACACCAACTGCTTCAGTGACTCCATCCAGCCACCTCATCCTCTGCTGTCCCCTTCTTCTTTTGCCATCTATTGTTCCCAGCATCAGGGTCTTCTCCAGTGTGTCCTTCCTTCTCATTAGATGGCCAAAGTATTTCAGTTCCATCTTCAGGATCTGGCCTTCTAAAGAGCAGTCAGGGTTGATCTCCTCTAGCACTGACCAGTTTGATCGCCTTGCTGTCCAAGGGACTCGCAGGAGTCTCCTCTAGCACCACAATTCAAAGGCCTCAATCCTTCGGCGCTCAGCCTTCCTTACGGTCCAGCTTTTACAGCCATACATTGCAACTGGGAAAACCATAGCCTTGACTACACACACTTTTGTCGGCAGGGTGATGTCTCTGCTTTTTAGTATGCTGTCTAGATTTGCCATAGCTTTCCTCCCCAGGAGCAAGTGTCTTTTAATTTCTTGGCTGCAGTCCCCGTCTGCGGTGATCTTGGAGCCCAGGAACATAAAATCTGTTACTACTTCCATTTCTTCCCCATCTATTTGCCAGGAAGTGAGAGGACTGGATGCCATGATCTTAGTTTTCTTAATGTTGAGTTTCAAGCCAACTTTTGCGCTCTCCTCCTTCACCCACATCAAGAGGCTCTTTAGTTCCTCTTCACTTACTGCCATTACAGTGGTATCATCTGCATATCTGAGGTTGTTGATATTTCCCCCAGCAACCTTAATTCCAACTGGTGATTCATCTAGGCCTGCCTTTCTCATGATGTGCTCTGCATAAGTTAAATAGGCAGGGTGACAGCATACAGCCTTGCCATACTCCTTTCTCAATTTTGAACCAATCAGTGGTTCCGTGTCCAGTTCCCACTGTTGCTTCTTGACTTGCATATAGGTTTTTCAAGAGACAAATAAGATGGTCAGGTACTCCCATCTCTTTAAGAACTTGCCACAATTGGTTGTGATCCACACAATCAAAGGCTCTAGCATAGTCAATGTAGCAGAAGTAGATGTTTTTCTGGAACTCCCTAGCTTTCTCCATGATCCAGCGTATATTGGCAATTTGATCTCTAGTTCCTCTCCCTCTTCAAAATCCTGCCTGTACTTCTGGTAGTTCTCGGTCCACATACTGCTGGAGCCTAACTTGTAGGATTCTGAGCATAACTTAGCTAGCATGTGAAAAGAGTGCAATGGTGCAGTAGTTTGAACATTCTTTGGCATTGCCCTTCCTTGGGATCGGAATGTAAACTGACCTTTTCCAATCCTGCAGCCACTGTTGAGTTTTCCAAATTTGCTGGCATATTGAGTGTAGCACTTTCACTGCATCATCTTTTAAGATTTTGAATAGCTCAGCTGGAATACTGTCACCTCCACTAGCTTTGTTGTTGCTCAGACTTCCTAAGGCCCATTTGACTTCACATTCCAAGATGTCTGGCTCAAGGTCAGTGACCACCCCATCGTGGTTATCAGGGACGTTAAGCTCTTTCTTGTATAGTTCTTCTGTGTAATCTTGCCACCTCTTCTTAATCTCTTCTGCCTCTGTTAGGTCCCTGCCATTTTGGTCCTTTATCATGCCCATCTTTGCATGAAACATTCCCTTCATATCTCCAATTTTCTTGAAGAGATCTCTGCTCCTCCCTATTCTATTGTTTTCTTCTATTTCCTTGCACTGTTCATTGAAGAAGGCATTCTTATCTCTTCTAGCTATTCTCTGGAATACTGCATTCAACTGGGTGTATCTTTCTCTTTCTCCCTTGCCTTTTGCTTCCCTTCTTTCCTCAGCTATTTGTAAAGCTTCCTCAAACAGCCATTTTGATTTCTTGCATTTCTTTTTCCTTGGGATGCTTTTAGTTACTGCCTCTTGTACAATGTTGTGAACCTCCATCCTTAGTTCTTCGGGCACTCTATCAGATCTAATTCCTTAAATCTATTTGTCACCTCTACTGTATATTCATCAGGGATATGATTTTGGTCATACCTGAGTGGCCTAGTGCTTTCCCCTACTTTCTTCAATTTAAGCCTAAATTTTGCAATGAGAAGCTCATGATTGGAGCCACAGTCAGTTCCTGGTCTAGTTTTTACAGACTGTATAGAGCTTCTCCTTCTTTGGCTGCAAAGCACATAGTCAATCTGATTTCTGTGTTGACCGTCTGGTGATATCCATGTGAAGAGTCGTCTCTTGAGTTGTTGGAAAAGAGTATTTGCTATGACCATTGTATTCTCTTGACAAAATTCTACCAGCCTGTGCCCTGCTTCATTTTGTACTCCAAGACCAAACTTGCCTCCTATTCCGGTTATCTTTTGGCTTCCTACTTTAGCATTCCAATCCCCCATGATGGTAAGGACATCATTTTTGGGTGTTAATTCTAGAAGGTGTTGTAGGCCTTCACAGAACCGGTCAACTTCAGCCTCTTCAGCACCAGTGGTTGGGGCATAGACTTGGACTACTGTGATGTTGAATGGTTTGCCTTGGATTCAAACTGAGATCATTCTGTCATTTTGGAGGTTGTATCCCAGTACTGCTTTTCCTACTCTTTTATTGACTATGAAGGCTACTCCATTTCTTCTGAGGGGTTCTTGCCCGCAGTAGTATACCTGATGGTCATCTGACTTAAATTCACCCATTCCTGTCTATTTTGGTTCACTGATTCCTAAGATGTCGACGTTCAGTCTTGTCATCTCTTGTTTGACCACATCCAGCTTGCCTTGATTCATGGATCTTACATTCCAGGTTCCTATGGAGTATAGATCTTTGCAGCATCAGACTCTCCTTTCACCACCAGATACATCTGCAACTGAGTGTCCTTTTGGCTTTGACCCAGTCGCTTCATTCTTTCTGGCGCTACTAGTACTAGCCCTCTGCTCTTCCCCAGTAGCATATTGGACACCTTCCAACCTGAGGGGCTCATCTTCCGGCATCATATCTTTTTGCCTTTTGGTACTGTCCATGGGGTTTTCATGGCAAAGATACTGGAGTGGGTTGCCATTTCCTTCTCCAATGGATCACGTTTTGTCAGAGCTCTCTGCTATGACCTGTCCGTCTTGGGAGGCCCTGCACACATAGCTCATAGCTTCATTGAGCTACGCAAGCCCCTTCGCCACGACAAGGCAGTGATCCATGAAGGAGATTTGGGCAAGGGAGAACTGTAAATTAAACATGTGTTATCCCAAATGTGCCCTATCACCTTACATCCTTATGCAGCAGGAACACACTAGATGCTGCCCTTTCCTTTTCCTGGTAATTCTTATTGCCACCAGGTTTAAATAGCAGAGAAACCATCACTTCCCTTATCCTTGTGGCACAACTACTTCCCAGCAATCCATGATGCAGAGGACCCTTTCTTTAGTTCTTCATTCTCTGCCTGTCCACTTCCTCTCTCAGAACTGACACACAACCGGACAGCCAACCTGTTTCTGGAGGGACCTGCCAGTGGCAAATCTTCCTGACTATGATGCACCATGCATCACATCACCGTGTGTCTGACTGTGGCACATCATATGCCATACCTGTCCTCCTGCACTGAAGCATCACCTACTGATGGTATTCGTCCACCAAACCTGCTGCTCTGAGGGGGATGAAGGACTTGGGCCAAGTAGCTTTTGGGGTGTGAGGAGGAGGAGGTTTTATTTAACACCTGCAAACCCCAGATGTATATGGTACAGAAAATCTACTTGACACTGTGATGCTACTTGAGGGTTGGACTGCTCCTTTCTTTCATTCAAGTTTTACTGAAATTACTATACAGTTAAAACTTCTCACTCTGAACATTAATAATGTAGCAAATGCATTTGGATCAAAACCTTTCTCAGCAACTGTTCTAAAAATCACTCTATAATCCCGTGATAATAGGTATCTTATTGCTAATCAAAAGATTATAGATTGGTTTGTAGATCTGCCACTAAGAAAACCTTCCATCCACATCTGTTTGGGATTCTGCAGGCCTAATCGTGTTAATCCGAGCAGTCCCATGGACAGGAAGCCCTTTTGATGGATCCTTCCAGTTTCAGGGGCTCCCTCCTGTTCACATCTTTGTTTGTTAGTACCACTGATGTGTCTGTCTCATGCTTAATGCATCAGAGGTGTATTAAACACAGGAATGTCAATTTGGATGTTAGTGCTAGAGGAAATGCCACCGTGAAAGATGACCCACCATTCCGAGTGTCACTGTAGAATGATGTGTGGGATAAGTCCACAAATGGAGTACTGGGAAATCTGTTTAGAACACGTGTGACACTCTGATTCTAAGCACATGGAAAATCATGGCAGCTGAGAATTGTTCTACAAGGGTACCACGTCAACATTTCTCTGGATTTCTGCAAAGAATCATATTGGGATATGAACAAGCAGCTCCAGTTGTTATTTGAGAGGAAAAAGAAGCCTTATAGGACAACCACCATGTAAGTACTTACTCACAAACAGCAGGGAACGACAGACCAACAAAGGCACTAGAAAGATACTCTGTGTACATTTCATTAGCAACTCCTTCCAGGTAGTATTTCTGCCATGTATCCTCTTCAATCTAGGAAGGAGGGGAAGAAAGCAAAAACCGTTTCAGAGTTCACAACCGCATTCTTTAAAAAATAAATAAATGGAGACGATTAACTGCAAATCAACGTGTAGTTAATCCAAAGGAGTAGCTAGGTTAACTGCTTTACCAGGAAATCCTGCCTGGTGAGTTTCCAGGGGGAGGCTCCTTCTCTAAGCACCAAACAGGCCAGGGGGGTGGGCAGAAAGGCTTGGTGTGTAATATTTAGAGAACACAGTATTTTTTGATCAAGGGAATGTGGAGAAAGAGGGAGAGAAGGGGGAGTTCAAGTGGAGTATTGAAATGTTAAAAAGCCACAACAGCATGTACACCAACTCAGAAGAAAATCCAAATAGAGTCAGATATACACTCCTGAATAAAATATGCTCGCTCTCTCTCATTCTCTCTCTCCATATATAAATGCACACAAACACGTATACATACACATACATATATACCAATACATGTTTAAAAAATCAATGCTGCCTCCAGTTCAAGTCCCTACAAAAAAAGGGCCACCAGCCCCTTTCTGAACTGCTGCACTAGGCTAACCTTGTGCATACCGTATGATTGCACATACGTATTTGTGAGAAAACCTCTGCAGCTTATTAGGGTTTTTTATTTTATATGTATGTATGCATGTATGTATGTATGTATGTATGTATGAATGAATGAATGCCTGGCTCCGTGCAAAAGGATTAAAACCCCAAACCTAAGTGACTCAGGGAAAAGTGCAAAAGTAAGTTTTGCAGCCGGTCAGTGATCAACTGAAATTCTCCCACACAACGGCTCATCTCTGCTCGGGGCATCTGAGCACGGCTGTTTCGGAAAGGTGCCCAAGAAAGCCAGGTTTGGCACAAAGCGTAAGGCTTCTTTGACCAAAACGCCTCACTACAGAATAAGGTACCATGCCAGTTAATATGGCCACTTGTCACCTGCATGCGGCTTGCTATGGAAGACATTTCCATCTGGTCTGATATGGCCTGCGGTGCAAAGTATATCTGGTGCCCCGCAAAAGGACTCTGGCTGGTGCCATTTTCTGGTTCTGTGCCACTCACATCCTCAGAAGCCCAAGACATTTTGCTCTATCAAACCTTCCCTCAACCAGCACACAACAATTCTCTCCCCTCTGTTTCCACATTTATTGCATCTTTCCCTATCACACGTTTGGGACATTTACCTGAAAAAGTGGATTTCACTTACTTGCATCTATAGCTAGGGGTGTGTGTGTGTGTGTGTGTGTGTGTGTGTAACATCAAAGTAACCTCTGCAATTTAATACTAATAGAGGAACTGACTGACAAACTGTTCCTCGTTTTCAGTCTTTCAAAGACTAGGAAAATAAAATCTCTCCCTGTATGTAATGCGAATGTAGAGAGATAACCATCTGAAGACTGGTTCAAAGACAGAGCTAAAAGAAACTGAACCACTGAAAAGAGGAAGTAACCCAAAACTAACTTCCTCAGAGCACAGGGGCTTCAAAGAGGCACATGACAATTCAATTTGAGCAGGCAAGCTTCTTTTGAGCTCAGCTGCAGTAACAACCTGAAATCCCCCATGTGTCTGTAGGCACCACATTCACCTACAGCAAAGGGGTTAGGGGAGATCTAATCATTTTTCAGGGTGGGGGTGGAGGACAAATGTATGCGCTAAGGGGAGGGGAGTCCTCTAGGCGGCTGCCCCCTTGTGACTGCCATCCCCACCCCCTACCCTGAATGCTCCGGAAAGAGCATCATTCCACAGCGTTTGGGTCGGAATGGCAGCTCACATGGGTGGAATGAAGTGGCATGGCCCTGCTAGAATTACACAAGTGGCAGCAAAAGACACGTAAAGGACAGGAGAAAAGGAAAAATGCTACCACTTCCATATACCACTTCCAGATAATTCCCCACAACTGTTCCAGCTCATCTTATTCACTCTGACTCATTCCCTTTTTATTCCTCCCACTAACATCTTTTTGCAAGAACTTTTGGCTCAGCCCTAAATAAAATAGGAGCTGTTCCCAACAACACTGCCTTTTGCTATACTGTGAAGCTGTGCTATTGTAAGCAAAAGCATTTGGGGGGCCACCAGATGCCCATCCATGCCTTAACTCCTACACGCATAGACAAGGACTGATGCATATTTTTTATGTGAGCCACGGCTGAGATCCAAAGCACAGCTTAGATTCACATGAGGCACTGTATTAGCTGTGCAGAAGATATTACTCTGCAGAGCTGGCTTTCTTTGTGATCTGTAGAAAACAGACAGGTGTCCACGTCCATGTGTGCATTTATGCATTAGGCCGGAAACACAAATAAAGGTGTTACTTTGCAACGCAGAGCACAAATGAAAATCAGATCTGGTTGAACATGTTAAAAGATCCGGTCAGAGTGTATGCAACTCCTCCAAACTGATCATGGATTAGCAGTGCAAGAGGGAAAACGTACACTCACAGAAGGATAATTCATTCTCCCAGTGAGCTGATTTTGTACAGCGACAGTAGGGCTACACTATGTAAATGGTGGAAGGACACTGCTGGCTCAGCATCCAAGGTAGAGCAGGATGGCATGTATCGGCTGTCGATCTTATGCCATCTGAGACTGGAGACTTTGCACATTTAGACAGGAGAACTGCGTATCTGTAGCTCCATTTGTGCAACTTGAGTCTTCCTAGCCCCTCCAGCCCCCAAGGGTTCTTTATTAAATTAAAATAAACACTTTTGCTGTTATTCCCCTTTCTCCCTCCATGTATCTCCCCTGCCCCTTTCCTGCTGCAGTGAATGAACAGGATGATGGGAACATTGCTCCGGCAATAGGAACAAAGCAAGGGATGATGTGTGTGGCTAGGGAGCTATGGGCAGTAGAGACTGGTTGCCCGGAGCGGCTGCTTTCCTTTGTTTCTCTTTCCATGGGACTCTATGACATTTCTTCACCACCAATGGTGCAATCGAATTCCCAGGTCTGAGCATCATGAGAATCCACATTAAAGTGTGGAAACAGGCCAAGAAACCATTGCCTCTCTCTGTGATTTTAGGAAATCAAATGCTAACATACTGGAACTCTGACTGAGTTCCAGTAACATCATCAGATAAGGATAAGAAATCACAGGGCTTTTCCTGTGAACCTGGCTTCTGTTATTCCTCCAAATCCAAACTACTAGGTTCAGATTTGCCTGACTGGAGAAGCTTCATTTTGGACATCATCTAAATGAATCTGGTTTGCTTCAGGATACTATATATTAAAACTTTGCTTTTCAAAGCCAAATCTAATCTGACGTGCTTTTGTCATTTTACAGGCAGAAGAGATTCATCCTCCAAGTATATGAAAGCCTTTGAGGAATATATCACGTCTCAACCCCTAAAACTGCTAGCACATCCACAAAAACAAAACTGAAGTGGCAACAAAGCCCAGTTCTCCAGGCCTTGATATCTAAAAGGAACTAGCACACCGATCTTCTTCGACTCTCCAATATTTAATAGAGATTTATACAGAACTCCTGACTGAGTTTATTCAGCAAAACAAATAAGGGATTTTACCACGGAAACCTTTGCTCTGGAATGAAATCCACTGGGGCTGGTTCAACTTTATTAGTCCATATTGTGCAGGGATAGGTGATCTAAGGGACAGAAACTCAGTTGTCGCAGGGCTGAAGCAATGTGGATTGGAGTATTGTTTTCAGTGACAGGATAATATCCTCATAAAGAAGGTAAAGAACTGCTCCTCATGTCATGCCAGATACACTTTCAAAAGCCATATGTGATTTCAGTAAACTGTTTTTGAGCTCAGTTAAGCCTTGGGGCTATTTTTACATTATTCCATTGGAGTTTACATTCTGTGCTTAACAAGTCAGACTTCAATACAAGCCTGCAGCCAAAGCACTGACTCCTAAGCAAGTCAGTTGGTGGGTGAAGCGACTTCCCTGCTGCTTCTCACCGGTCCTTGCCCTGCTAGGTTGTCAGGTCAATAGAACTGGTTAATTCCACCTACAGTCCGTCCTTAGTGAAGAGAGCTCTGATAAGGTGTAGACCATATCCTCGGACTTCCATTTCTTAACACCCCGTTTTCACCTCGCTTGGGCCCTGAGCTGCACTGCCACTGCACTTTCGTGGACTGACTGTCCTCTGAGGAAACCACGAGCTAATTCAGGACCAGAGAATGACTAGGATCTCCCCTTTCCACCTTGCAAAACCAGCTGCACATAGCAAACTAGAAGATGCAGCCAGAAAAACCTGCCACTGGAAAGCAGGGGAGGGGAACCAATGAAACCCTTAGACTAACGGTGCCAGAGAAATCCACAAAAGACTCAAAATCAGTTTCTAAGAATTGGACAGATGGATTCTGCAGAGGCATCATGCAGATTCTGTGGACCTCTGGATCTTTTTCTTAATTCTATACAAATATAGTTGTAGAAGAATACATGTGCATTCCTTCGTAAGTCTGCCTGGTGCCGTCGTTATTTGTTTTTCGGCACCAGGCTAAGACCTTTTTATTTAAACAATATTTTAACCATTTTTAATGTCATCTATGCGTTTTTTTAATTTGCAGCCAGGGTGAATCTGGATTTTATGTGCACTATTTGTATTGTGTCTATTTATTGTATGTAAGCCATTCCGAGGCTCATGCGAATGGGACGGCATACAAAAATTCTAAATAAATAAATAAGTTAAAATGTGGGAATATATATTCTGGGAAAATGTGTGTATTTTGAGAAACTTTCTGCATGTCGGGGGATGTGAATTTGTTCAACTCCAAAGTTTGAAACATAAAAGTATGTGAGGGGGTGTCACGTAGAGATGGGTTGAGGCCTGTTTTCCCCTGCAGAGAAGGGCAGGATGTGTTCCGATGGAGCAAAGCTCAGGGGACCAGGATTCAATTTGGATGCCAGGAAGCACTTCCTGACAGTCAGGACCCCGAGGGTGTGGAATGGGCTTCCACAGGAGAAGGTTGAAGCCCCAACAATGAGGGTGTTCAACGACAGGCTGGACATACATATGGTAGGCATGTCACGAGTGGAGCTGGATGGAGCCAGGGGTCATTCTACATGGCTCCTTCTGACTCACTCTGTTTCTACATTTCTATGTTTCTAAATGTGCTAAACAAATGCACAGAATTTTGCATATTAGCCATCTTTTGCAAAATCTGATTCCCCAGTGAGCAGAGGACAGAATGAAAGGTGCTTGACAATTTGCACCTGGATGGATCAGATTTTATGCTGTCCATATACCCTTACTTTGAACTTCATGGAGAGAGCTCTCACATTTGACAGTTTCCTCAGAAAAACTGTCTCACTCTGATGATTCATCTAACTCTGAGGAGGCTCCAACGATGCCTTCAGCCACTTAGGAGGCAACCGGTGAAGGAGGACCACCAATTAAGAAGTTCTGACCAACAGCCTGGCTAATTACAACATCTGGTAGCTTTGTTCATGCTCTCTAGTTCTGAGCATCTGCATATAGTGATAAATACTTTACTATTTTACTTGTAGCGGAACTATGAAGATACTGAACTTAATAAGCAAATAAAATTGCCTGCTTGGAACTCTGCTCCAAAGACTTTTTCTTCTTATGCTAATACACTCATTATTTTTAATATTTTCAACACTTTCAGAAATTAGTCTGATCATGTACACTAGAATGCCATGTACTTTAGTTATCCCAAATTTATTTTCATTAATCAATTCTGATGAAAAATAAGAGTTTCCATGCAAAGAATACGATTATGAAAGCAAAAAGAAAATGTTCAACAGCAAAACAACGTTCTGAGTTTTCTAAGTCTGTTTTACTGCTAATGCCGGGCAGAAAGGTTACAAAAATAATTTGGCTGCAAAGTCAAGTCATAATGAGTTAAATGTGTGGGATGTCACCACTGAATGTGTACTTTGGTCCTTGATTGATAAAATATTTAAGGTGTATTATACTGTTTTGTAGCAGGCTGGGGAGAAGAAGTGGAGGGAACTCTTCACATCAATTAGTTTTCCAAAAACAACAGGACTTCTGCTAAGGTTTTGCTGGCAACCTTCTAACATGTACCTTCCCACTAATATTGTTTGACTGAAGTATTTGCTATGTAAACTTGAAGCAAGTGAGAAATGTAGAACTATGGCACAGAAGGGGCAGGGGAGAGATGGAGCGGCAAAGCATGGTGGCTTCTCAAGGCTAAGATGTTCACTTCCTGTCCTGTCATCTTGCGGGTGACTGAGATCCCACTGCCACCCATGGCCAGGAGCTCATTTTTTCACCACAGGCCTCTTCAAAAACCAGCAAGAAGCCAGAATAAGTCCTAAAAGAGTGCTTATTCTGATTCGGCCTATGTCCTGACTTCTGGAAGCCACACTTCCTGCCTATATTTTAATAGGTTTAAAAATGGCACCTGGGCAGCATGTTGGGAAAGCCATCAACACCATGAGTCCCTTTGTCCCACATTTTTTCTCTGTGCGCAAACACCTGGCAGCTGCTGCCCGGCTGCCTGAGAACAGAGTGATGGAACCGGGGTGCAGAGATGCTTGTGCTGCACTGACTGCTTGTGGCCCCTCTTCAAAAAAAGAAAAAAAAGAGGGGAGGGGAGATTTGGCCTTGTTTTAGCATGTGGATGTTCCTATACTGGAAAAGTGATGTCTCCATGCAGGTGAGCCTGTGTTCGACTTTGTTTGGGGCATTTCCCCACATAATTTAAAGTGATTCTGGGGGAAAATAGGGGAATGCCTGTCTTCCAATACCATCCATGTTTGCCCATCTGCATTGCCACTCCATCACCTTGGGAATGGACAGCTGATATTCCCATATCCATGTCTGGGGTGCAGCTGAAGTTTTCTATCTCCCTTCCTTTTGATTTCCTTGTGCTCTGTTGTCCAAAAACATCAGCACAAATTCCCAGCCTGGGGAGAGTGGCCAAAACCAAAATGAGAGCAGATTAACACGAAGAGAAACTAGTGGAATTTTGCTCTAGTCATTCCCAAATATCTGAAAATTACTAGGCTCTATTATTTATTATTAATTTCATGTAAACCTCAAGGGCCTCGTTGATGGGAGAGAAATAAATAAATGTGTTATTGCTGTTGAAGTTTTGGGCTGTGGGACAAGCACATGTTCTACATTTATTCTGACAGTGAGGGATCCACTGGCCACTTGATGGAGTGGGGAGGGGAGGCAGGGGAGGGGAGGGGAAGCCAAGAAAGAAAAACTATTGTGTCTTTCTCTCTCAGTACTTTGTTGCCATATGGATTGGATAGAGATCATATTTTCAACTGCAGAGGCTTTCTATGTTGATAAACATGTGGTTTATCTGAAAAAAAATAAAGAATAAAAAGGATTGCACTTTGAACAATCTCTAATGGCCATGGATGTGCCAAATAAAAACAAAAACATAATTTTGAAGGAGCCTGGCTCACTGCCCAATTTGTAATAGGCTATGGGTTTTATTTTCCTTTGGAATATGTTGTTTTATGTTTTAACCATCAGAGTTGATGTATTTCTCTCTGCTTTGAGTTTGGGCCATGCACTTTACTCAGCCCCATGACAAATTGAATCCCATGCTAATGTTCTATAATAGGATGAGACATTACCTTTATAAATGACCTCATGGAAAAGAGGTTGGCCAGCATTGTCGATAGGCCGGGCGCCAGGCAGCTCTGGGCGATGAAGCCCAGCTTGAGCTCCGCCAGGCAAATGGCATCATCTCCTTCTTTCCAGTTCCAGCTTGGGATATTTAGCAGATGGGCCTGCAAGGGGAAAACACGGGTAAGCAAGTCGGCCCCACAACACCCGCGCCTGCATTTTGCTGGCACACGAGGCGAGGGGAAAGGCAGCTGCAGAAAACCCCCCCGGCTCAAAGCGAGTCTCAGCCCATGTGCAGATTGCCTTTCCCCTGTGAAGTGAACCAATCTTTACTTTAAAAAGTCAGCTTAAGACTCCTTGACAGAATTGATCCTTACCCATCTTTTCTTTTAAGAAATTCATTTTATTGAAAAGAAGATGAAAACTGAAATCGAAAACATGCCACACACTTTGGTTTTCCTGGCAACTGGCTGGGAGTATGAAACTCTGGCTGGTCATTAACCCCAAGAGAAAAGCTTGAAAGTAACACATTAGCCCCGTTACCTTGCCCTCTCTCCCCAGATAGCTTGATTAAGAACCCTCCTCCCAAAGGAAGAGCTTGTACTACATATACCAAAATGCTATTTTTGTATGCAGCTTCCACAATCCGCCTTCCTTCCTTCCACGTGCTGGAAGTACACCACCCTTAAATCATTCCTCACACATATGGCATGCAACACACTGCTCCTAAGAGCACTTCTGACTGGACAGTGCCCGTTGTACCATTTTGCTTGCGCACTGCAAGCTGTCCCTCCGCTCCCAAAAGCTGACCTGAGCCTCTTTTAGTTCTTTGGTTCACACCTCTTTCTTAGACACTTCTTTGCAAGGAAACAGTTGATGGGAGAAAAGGAATGCCTCCGGTACACACACACAGCTCTGCCCTTCTGAAGAGGATCCTTCCTGCCTCCCAGGCCCTCTCTTACACAGGGAGAATCCGGAAGGGCATGCCGAGGGTCAGCCAATAGTGATAGCCACAAACTTCCAGGAAGCCTGTAGGTACAGCATGCACTGGCCAGGTCCTCCATCTAGCAACCAATGCGAAGTAAGCTTTCCCTGTAGGGCTGGCCTGCTTCCTTGGGGGAAAAAGCACAGCTGGGCATTCTAGATCTAGTCTTCTGTGGAATGTCTACCTGGAAATGAAGCATCCCATTAAAAGCCACCAGGCAGAGTTGATTCTGGGACTCAGGTTGTCTCTGCCCTTCTGCCAGTATCAGCAGGCTAGGAATGTGCATGCGTACACACACCCTTTCCATTTTCATAGAATCGCAGAATAGGAGAGTTGGAAGGGGCCAGGGGATCGTCGGCAGGTAAAGCATCCCTCCCATTGCAGGTGCATCTTGAATGCCTCCAGTGGGGGAGAGCCCACCCCTTCCGTGGGCCATTGGCTCATCCAGACGTCTCCTGCAGGACAAAGAGCATGGCCACCCCTCTCTCTACACCGAACCAGCTATGGTACAATTCCTACATTACTTCTCTGGTGGCCACTGCAGAACAGCTGCCCCATGGCTGGCTCACGCAGCATATCGGTAGGAAGCTTGAATCTTTCACGTGCTTTGCCTTGACATACCCCTGGATTCTAGGCTACCTTGGGATTGAAACACCTGCATTTCCCAGGTGCAGCATTGGAAGCCAGCCACAGGAGAGCCACAGAGTAGATACATGAATTGCTACAGCTGTGGAAATAATGTTCCGCCACCATCCCTCCCCTCAAACACACATGTTACAGAACATGTGCTCTTGATGGACATACAGTCAATCTGCAAGATTCTTTGTCCTTAAAATGGAACCTGTTCCAAGTGGTAAGCAGAATTTCATCACTAATCAAGAGCAGGCGGTGGTTATATGTTCATTAATATGGTTACAACCTTTAACTATAACTTGTAACCTGTACATTCAGTTATAATTTAATTAGAAAATTGCTGCATTAGATGTTCATCTTATTCATATATCCCTGCACATTGGTATAAATATGAGACTAGTTTTACAACAGAAAGCACATGTCCCCAAATTACCTTGTTGTGATACTGCAACATCTGGGTGATTATTCTTATTTTTGGATGATAATTCTTTATGGAAATTACTCTGAAAAAAAAGAAAACAAGGCAAGATTTGTCAGGTTCGTTTGACAGCAATTTGATGAATAGGATGGTGTGGACGGGTTCACACAGTATACATAGAGTCCAATAAACTCTACATGTGCCCGGCTCCAGGGATGCAGTTTCATTTATTTCTTTTTTAACAGAGTTTCCTGAACCAGGGAATTGCTGGGCTGCATCTTAAGCAGCCACGGTGCTCCCACTCACTCTGCTGCACCAGTCAGATCCACCCCAGTGCCAGGAGGGAGTCCATGCATCACAAAGAAACCTCAAACATGAGCAGAAATGGTCATCTCCAGGTTACGGTTGGTCAGCAAGGGTCCCTGGTGGGAACTGCACTGGCCTGCCCACAGTTTGGCTCCAAATGGCATGAAACCAGGACCTGGTCAAAACAGGCAAGCACCTGGGGCAACCCACTTTGGAAGGTTAACACTGGGCTGGATTGTGTCCAATAGTTCCAAGCTGGAAGACTCTATAATCAAGAGGTAATCTTTGCTATGCATTCTATCTGTGTGCCAATCCCACAACAGTACCCAAACATCTCTGGGTTGGAACAAGTGTGTGCCTCATAGCTCTTGGTGGATTTGTTTATATGGTTAAACAATTCTAAGAGGAATCACCTCCCACTTTTTCTCCTTACAATTATAGACATGCACACAACAGCTATAATAAACTGGCTACAGTTTACATAATTCATTTTTTTTATTTAAAACTTTTTAGACCATCCCTTACCGTAATCTCGGGATGGTTTAACAATAAAACAGTTACTAAATACTTATATCCCAGGTTCAGAGAGAGGCAAAAAGCATTGATTATTGGCTGAGAATTGAGTGGGCTGCATGTCTTCCTGAACAGAAAGCATGACGGCTCAACATGATCTTGCATTTCTAGGGAATCAGAAATAAAAGCAAGCTGTCTGTCCAAAGGGGCCATTTCAAATCATCCTCGCATCTGCCCCTTTGGGAAAACACAGATAATGACAGAAGACTCCCAGAAGGATGGCAGAACAAGAAAATTTCGCAATGCCATTCAGCACCCAGGGGTTACAGTGGAGAAAAGCCTTCTTGCATTTTTTCTGTCTCCCTTCATGATAGATCTGCAAAGCCTCCAAGAAAGAAAGAAACTTTAGAGTAGCAATGCTATAAATGAAACTTCCCTGACTGCTACCTGATGTAGAGGGAAATGTATTGCTTTATTTCACAGTTAAGCGGGAACTTGACAAAATTGGTTGCATTGTTTGATATGGCAAACAACATATTTTTGCATATAGATTTATCTCACTTTAATCTGCTTTTTAAACCCTTTTTTAGCTGAAGCATTTAATTAAGTATTCAGCTTTATTGAATCAAACCCATTTCTTCTGAAAAGCAGAAGAAAATTCTGTTCACTCTATAACCATTTCCCCCACCCCCTTAAAAACACACATGGAATCTATTCAAAAGTCCACTAATCTATATCTGGGTTTCCCTTTAACCCAGATATATAATTTTAAATCAAAGCAAGAGTCCTTCCACAAGATTAAAATGTGGCTTTGGAACATGAATAAAGCAACTGGGAGGCACTGTGTCCCACCAGGTAGCAACAGATCCTGTACTGGTGCACTATGGCTTGCAGAAGGCTTCCCCACTCTCTAAATCCAGCCATACCAGCGTCACTGAGACCAAGGGGGATACTGTCAATAGGCTCTTGCTGATGCTTCTTGGTCTTGGGTGACCAGTTCCCAAGCTGAAACTGCCATAATTTTGCAAAACTGCCCAGCCAGTAACAGGGAAATACTGCTGCAGGTTCTTTGGCCAAAGTCTCTGGCTTGGAGCTGATCTACTCTCAATGTCTGGGGTGAGGATGAGAAGGAGAGAAGTTACCAATCCTACTGGACACAGGCTGCGTTTGACCACAAGTCCATGAGGTTTGATCCTAAAATTCAGTGGCCAGAATATACGGGGACGGGGCGTTATGCTCACATGACTCCAGTCCTCCATCAGCTTCACTGGCTTCCCATTGAAGCCCGGGCCCAATTCAAGGTGTTGATTATGACCTACAAAGCCCTAAACGGCTTGGGTCCTGGCTACCTGAACGAGCGCTTACGTCCGTATATGCCCGACCACCCTTTGAGATCTGCGGGAGAGTCCCTTCTCCGGGAACCCTCCATGAAAGAAATTAGGAGAGTAAGTACCCGGAGGAGGGCTTTCTCTGCGGTGGCGCCCAACCTATGGAATTCACTCCCCAAAGAGGTCCGCCTGGCACCGTCGTTACTGGTTTTTCGGCGCCAGGTAAAGACCTTTTTATTTAAACATCAATTGTTAAAACATATGATCTGGCCTGGGCAACTTCTTCTTCCTTCTCTTTCTCCTCCTATATTTTTATTTTATACTGATAATTTTAATTTTGTATTTGTAAATCAATGTATTTTTTGTATTGTTATATTTAATGGTAATTTATTATGTACTATTGTATTTCAATGTATTTTATCATGTTGTAAGCCACCCCGAGGTTTCGGCAAGGGGCGGCATAGAAATGTTATAATAATAATAATAATAATAAAAATAATATACTTTTGTAGGTAGGAGGAGAAAGCCAGGCAAATATCGTTCATCTGAGACCTGGCTCAGTCCATCCAAAGGCATCATTCTGTCTGTCCATCTCAGAGGTGCAGCTTGCATACTTCTAGTCCCTTGTGTCCTGAAGACTTCCTGAGCAAACACAGTCCCAGGGTAGCTCACTAGAAGCTTTAGGTTCGTGTGCCAGCTTGAAGGTGCTTCCAGGCAAGACTTTTATCAGCCGGCCTCATCTACAGAACTTTACAAGACATCCAGATGTTGACGTTGTCAGCTGGTTGCCCTCCCATGTTTTCCCCTTGCTTCTTCCATCTTTTTCTTTTTTAAAACCACAGGAAAAAATCCATAAGTAAGAAAAAGCAGAAGAGAAGCACAAGCCTCTTCTTTGCAGCTGAGATGGAGCCCGTGCTTGGAAGCACCTCAGAATCACTGCCATGGGGAGCGGAAGACCCCGTCCCGTTTTTCCACTAGGCTCCTTTGCAAGCCATCCGCTAATGAACCAAAGTTGTGCAGCAGAAGTGCTTATTTAATGCCGTGCTCCCTTAAGATCTTCCCCTCAAAATGGCGCTCAATACAATTACAGACCAGAAATAGAAGGTATCCCCCTCTGCAGTGAAGCATTCTTTAATTTAAATCACTTCTCCGAACTCTGCCTTCATTTTGTGAGATGCACGTATTTGACAGTCCAATAAAACTGTTCCGAACATGGCCAATTCACTGCGTTAGTGCATTTTTAATGGGACTCTGACATTTCAGTGCTTTAAAAGGGCAGACTAGTCCCTTTTAAATCTGCAAGTAATAGGGAAATCTGTCTTATTACAACCTTATTCTTGCAATTTCCTTGCTACCTGCCCTCGAGATGAACCATGGCATTTGTATTTTTTAAACAAAAAAGGAATGCCACCCAGATTAGGAGTTGTATCTTTCGATTATCAACAATACTGGATGAGGCTAAAATCTACAGTTTTAGAGACAAGGCAGGGACTAACTGCCCATTATTATTATTATTATTATTAATAAGTTTTATTTTTAATAAACCTAACAAAAAAGAAACTAAAAACAACATCAATCACTGAGAACATCGGACCTGCTGGGTCAGCCCCCCACATTTTTTCTTTTTATGTTAAACTATAAACATATTTAAATCTATGCATAGTTCCGTTTCTCTAGCCAATGATAAAAAGAATCCCAAGTTTGACAGAAGTCTGTATCTTCTTTCTCCTTCGGAGACAACGGACTAACTGCCCATTATGTGCAGCCACGGTGGACATCGCTTCTGTGACTGACCCTGTGTGTAAAGCAGCTTTCCTGAACTTGGGTTCCTCCAGGTGTTCCCACGATCTCTGACCACCGGCTGTGCTCAGTGGGGCTGATGGGAATTGGAGGGACCCAGGATGCGGAAGGCAGGTTTAGCGGCTCCTGTATCAGTGCTTTACAAACCACACCTGATGCACCTGCCAAGGGGACGCCCGTTGTTTGTCTGGCGTATTAACTGTCTTCCCAATGAACCATGTGGCCAGAAACTTTGCACTGATCCCTACATCTCTGATGGCCAGGCAAGAACAAAGGGGAGTTAGGTGTGGATCCTATACCAGTGATAGGATCCACCAGGGCCTAACCTGATCCTATACCAGTGATGAAATTTGGGGGCATACAACTTCAAAGATGGAAATGTTGGTGCCCGGAGAATACAACACCTAAATGCGTCAGAAAGGAAAGAAAAAGCAAATTCAGCCTATTTTATTTGTTCCTAAATGTAAGTCCTTCTTGATTTGTCTACTTCTCATTTATCTTCTCAGGAAATATTTCTTCCAAAAAAAGCAGCACAAGCAAGGGGAATATATTAATAATGCTTTCATGAGTGCCTATAACCTATCCTATTTCAAAGGCTCAGAGAGTTTTAGGAACATAGAAGGAAAATCCCGGGATCCAAAGAACATCTTCATTTGGCCACACACTTTGCTGTGTGTGGCAGGGCCATTTCCTTTTGCTAGCTGCTGAAGCTCTTTGCGTGTTGCATTATGTATTATTCAGGTATTTAGTAAACCAGGGGATTGAAAGATTGCACATTCCTATGACGTTTTTCTACTTCACAAATTAAAACCACGCTTCCAAATTACCTCATAATGTTAGAAGCATCCTCAGCATCTGGGTCAGCACAGTATTTGTTGGCAAGGATGAGGCACGCGTCCGCTGACTCTATCTGGACACCGAAGGAGAAAGCAAACAGAAAGAGCCACATGGTTTTTCCAAACCTGTCCTAGCCGTACCCGCTTCCATGGAACGGCGTCCTCCCTGGGCAAAGGGATGGGCTCCATGGACCACCAAAGCAGGCAGCCTCCTCCCCCCGATTCACCGCTCTGTCCGTGGCATCACATGGCTCTTCCACAGGAGACCAGGTTGTGGGGGCGGGTGAGGAGACCTGGGCTGGGCTCCCTGGACTCCAGCAGACCTGGGCCTGGGCTCCTGGCGAGTGCAGCCAGAGCACCCCCGGTGCTGCCAGTGTCCCTCTTCTGCATCCAGCACCGCCAGAACCACTGGTGCTGGTGGGGGGAGGCGTGACCGATCTCAGTGTTCCTCTCCTGTGCCCATCAGCCACCCTTGGGAGAGCTGCACCTGATGGGCAAGGTTGCCAGTTACCCGACTGGGCATCTGTGTGCATCCACAGGCTTTCTCTTGGCTTGACTTGCTTTGCTTTGGGGCCAAGGACACGAGGAAGTCTGCAGATGCTAGAGGGACAGATTCTGAAAGAGTTCATCCCAACCCTTGACCAGATCATTCTCTGCCCTGAGGCAGCAATAATGTGGATTATACCGCTTCCAAGAATAGAGCAGGGTATAGTTTAATAGCAGGGTATCTATTCTATCACATATTCAAAATATCCATTGCTCACATAGCTTCATCCTTGATGTGATTTGCAGAGGGAGCTTTCTAGAGTCCTGAATATTAGCAACTTGCTTCTGCTGGTAAACAGCAAGTAGCTTTCTTTGGGTCCCCTGAGGCTAGAATGACCAGCATTTGCTTAGGCTTATATCTGCACTAGAAATGAGTATCAGCTTAGCTGTTTAGCTGCCATGGCTTTTCCCAAAGAAAGTATAATTGAGTCAGGATGCTGAAAGCTTCACTCTGGATACTGGCAGCAATCCCTACAGAACCATACTTTCCTGTATTCCCTGTGGAGATAAAATGAGTATTAATATTAGTTTAAATGTGTAGAATGGTAATATTTTTCATTGAATGCAGATTCTGAATGGTGAGGTAGGAAAAAAGAAGAGAGCCATTACCTTTACTCTAGCCAGGTCATGAGGATTGAGAACAGAACCCTGAAAGAATTCCACCTGAGTGAAGTGTCGTTTAAAAAGAGCTTCCAACTCAAGGTTAGGGGAGATACTAATTGAGAAAGAAAGGACAAAACAAGAAGAATGAAGTCATTTTTTGAGCATCAGAGGCAAAGAAACTGTGAGAAACTGCAGACCGGTAGGTAGGTTAAAGCTTCAATATAGGCATTCACGAAGTAGCATTAACGAGACCACAAAACATCCTGGTTTCCTAAGAAAACTGACATGTGTAATGGTATTAAACACCATTCACTTGAATCAGGTCACAGGTAGCACAACTGAACTTCTGAACCTCATGGCTCACTCTTTGTCTGGTTATTTGGTTCTTCCAGCACTTGTCCAGACAAGCACAGGAATTCCAAAGCTTCCTGCATCCAATGCTTGAGGAATTTCCCGGGAGTCCCCAAAGTTTCCTCAAGTCTTTAAAAAAGCAGTCTTGGAGGCTGTTTGCTTAGCATGTTTGAACTGTGATTAGTTTTTGGGATATGAGCCTGCTTAGCAGAGTCTTATGCTGGGAACACATTGCTGGTGGGAGCAAAATCGCATTTTACATTCAGACCTTCAAAACAGCTTCCCAAAGCAAAGAGTATTTGATTTAAAATGCACCGAAGCATTACTGCCTGGGAAAATTCATATTCTGAATTAGGTAATAGGCAGCTTCAGTGACGTCACTGATTTCAGCCATGTTTATATGTACAAGCAGGATTTTAGCATTTCTCCTGCAAATGTAGAATATATCAACATTTTCATGGTCATCTCCTTGATAAAGGCCTGGGTATTTGATTCTGGCCTGGGTATCTGAAAGTATACAGAATTAGAACTTTTGGTTCCAAGACTTGGTAAATATAGGATGAAGGCTATAAAGAAGATGTGGCTCTGTCATCAGTTTTATTAAATTATTTGGATGGTTTCCCCTTTAATGAGCAGTGGAATGCCTATAATTAATCCCAAACAACCAGAAAAGCTATATAATTTACAATGGTGTTTTCAGACTTCCTGCCCTCTAACAACCCTTTGCACCTGCACAATTTTGCAAGTACCACATGTTGCAAAGGACTCTGGAACATCTTCCAGCAGGTATGCACAGGGGCAGGTTCCAGGGATGCTCTTTCAGCCCCAGCCTGGCCCTGCATGAACAGAGGGCGAAACTGCACCACTGTGGCAGATTTGTGTGGACACATGTTTAAATGGGGTGGTTAGAAGAAAAACCAGCACTTGCTCTTTCTCCAAAAGGGGCCGTTTCTGCTTGCTTTCCATGTAACCTGTTCACTGTGACAAGGAGCTGATGCTCCGGGGCACAGCCAAGAAGCTACCCTGTGGCAGAGCCAACAGGGGAGCCTGGTAGTTGTGGGAAGGCTCACTTCAGGATCCCCTGCTCAGCATGAATGGTCCTCATGCTGCTCAGCCTGCAAGGAAGCCAAAAGGAAAGACTGCAAATCGCAGAGCAGGACACCGGGAGATCTTTGGGAAGTATTGCGATTGGCGCAGCAAAAGCAAAATGCCGCCAACCTGACATGGAAGCTCTGGCGCAAGGCTGCAGAAAGGCAAATGGAAAGAATGCCATGATCCCCAACCTGACCAAAATCTTGTCAGAACATCCATAGCCCACCGATTTAAATCAGGCGCAGTGCCCTTTATGGCTTGAGAGTGCAGCCTCGGTCCCACCATGTCCACCTGCCAGTCTTGGGAGAATTTGCCTTTAAGACTGCAGCCGTGATTCAGAGAAGGACATTCATACATTGTGAGCTCATGGAAATTTGCAGAATTTCCTGTTCAAAGGCACCCCCTCAAATATCACTACTATCTAAATTATCCCCACACCATGAAGTGGTCGACATAGTTGCCTATATTGGGCAGATGACGTTGTACGTGGTATTTCCTCATTGTTTCTATTGCCAAAGTCTCCAGATCCACACATAACACATGCACATGCCTTGGTTCATCTGACTTTGTTTCTCTCTCTTAAAAGGAAGAAAAAGCAGCATGGACGGCTCGTTTACTCACTTATGCAGAAAGACGATTTCTACGTTCACATCATCCCTGTCCTTGTGCAGGAAGTCCTTCAAGAAGTTGGACACACTTTCCAATGTTATGTGACCACAGACAACAATGTGCCTGTGACAGAAAAAAGGGGCACTGTTAAGTATGCTGGAAAACCCACCAGGAAGGAGTACAAGCAAACTCGTGAAGCAGCATTGTTTTCTTGCAGAAGCAAAGCAATTTGCAAAGGAAAGGTACTAATAGGAAGTGCTAATTTGCAGATGCATCTTTCCTGGAAAAGAAAAAGGAGTAATACCAGCACCACAAATTCCTAAGAGACCAAACTACTCCTGCTATTGGACTTAGAAAAGAGCTATTACACAGAAACAGCCAAATGGTTATTCCACCATAAAGAGACTTGGGCCCATGAGTCGTCCTTCATCTCCACCTTTTGCACACCAGCTTCCATCCTGGTCTGCTTAACCTAGATGTCATTGCAGCTGACATTTCAGTGTGTTAACTGTCCTCTTGAATCATGCTTTAAACAAACCAGGATTAAAACATTACAGACAGCTTGTGAAGGGATGAGAAGGAGGTGGAGTACCTGGGCCCGACATTTGTTTCTAGCCTGAGCAACCATAATTTAGCAAGCCAGAGTCACCTGTGTATGAGTCACATGGGCTCATGAAGTGGGGTATGCAGAAGAAGATTTATCAGGATTACTACTCCATTGCCATACAGTCATGTTGCATTCAAAATCAAAGGCCTGTGACTTCCCAACTTCCTTGGAGAGCGTCTGACCTAAAACCAACTGCTTTGTTTACTGAAAGGCTCAGAGCAGGCAGGAGGCTTAAGATGAACACACAAATGTTGCTTCAGTTGCAGACACTTTGATAAAGAGAAATCATTATAATTATTATTCTTGCTGGGACTTGAAAGGGAAGCGATGGTGGAAACAGAAAATTTCATCAAGTGTAGGGACGTTTCACTGAAGTTCATAGAATCATAGGATAGTCGAGTTGGAAGGGGCCATGAAGGCCATCAAGTCCAACCCCCTGCTGTTGCAGGGCACCACGTGACACCATCCCAAGATGGCCAAGGCCAAGATCATCCACACCATGGTATTCCTGACCACTATTTGTTTGGGTGTGAAAGCTGGATAGTGAATGAAAGTGGCAGGGAGAAAATCAATGCATTGGAAACATGTTGCTGGAAGAGAACTGTACAAAGACCCTGGACTGGCAGAAAAATGAACAAGGGGGGCCTGGATCGAATCAAGCCAGAGCTTTCCCTAGCAGCAAAAATGTCAACACTGAGACTGTCGTACTTTGGACACATCATGAGAAGGCACAACTCATGGGAGGAGAGAGCAGTGCGAGGGAAAGTCGAAGGCTGAAGGATCAACTATGAGATGGACTGGCTCCAAGGAAGCCACCACCTTGAGTTAGAAGAGCTGAGCAGGACTGCTGTGGGTGGGACGTTTTGGAGGGCTTTCATTCATAGGGTCACCACAAATGCAGAACAGCGGTGCAGGGATATCACGGACAGGGCATTCTGAAGGGCTTCATGCACCGGGACACCATAAATTGAAGATGCCTGGACAGCACATAGCAACAATTCTCCTTGCAGAAGTTTTGTGAAGGAACCAACCTATTTTCTGATGGGAGGTCTATTTTGGGGCAGAGGACCATGGAGGAGTGGGGAAAGACAACATGAGACAGACAGATTTCCCTGAAGCTTGTCTTTAGCGAGCTCAAAAAGTGAGGGCTTTCATCATATTCTCAAGTTAACAATACTTAAAAGCAGAAAATACGTTGAACCTTGTGTTAAACATACTCTTCCTATTGCTATTTGCCTTTTGTTTCCTGCAAAGTCACACATTATTTTACTATGCAAACTGCAGTATACCTTGTGTGATTTAGGATAATCAGAAGAAATCACAGGATATCCCATGGATATCTGTCTGTCTATCTGCAACATCTTGGCCAGAGAACTGCTCTGACTCCATGCAAGTATGTCCAGGGCAAAATGTTAGCATCACCAAAGCTCACAGTGCACCGGGCCATTGGATGCTGCTGCTATGTTGTCCCTGGCCACCCTGCCCCCCGCACACACACACTTCTCTTCATCCCACTCTCTCGCACACACACACAAACACACCACTCACTCACCCACACCGTTTTCAGGTACTCCATTCTCGTATCACATGGGAACTCAGTGCACTGCCCATGGAGTGAGACGGTGATTTCTCCACCCGCAGAATCATAGAATCGTCAGGTTGGAAGGGGCCAAGAAGGCCATCGGGTCCTGCTGGTGCAGGACACCAATTTACGCCATCCCTCCCGGAGGACTGTCCAGTTTTGCCTTGAATGTCTCCAGTGTGGGAGAGTCCACCACCTCTCCAGGCAATGTGCAGTTTGCTGTCCTTCCAGGCCGCACAGGGACAAAGGGGCTCTCCTATTTTAATGTGCAGTGCTGAAAGGACTGGAGACTCAGCTACAGGATGGCCAGGTCAAGCACTTCCCTCCTTCAGAGCTTCCCAACAAGGCAGGGCAGTATAATTACTCCCGTATAATTACTTCCATGCATTCGTTATTTGGCTGGGGAGCTCAGGCATAGCAGCTTGCCCCAGGCCTTTTACTGAGAGATGGCAGAGGCAAACTATGGGGACTTCTGTGCTTGCAGATCACAGCCTCAGCTCCACAGGTATGCGGATCTCTCAGTATGTCCGATATGCTGCTTCTCTTTATTCAGAAGGACTATTCACCTTGGCACTGATGTTGGGGCCCCTTAGGAGCCCCCTAAGACAGCCCATATTTCACAGTGTACTTAAACCAAATGTATACCACCTTTCCTTTCATGGGATTCCCGGGCATTGTATAACTAAGAAAGACTAATTTATTAAATATAAAATATCATACAACACTACACTTCGTCGTTTTATCGTAAGCCGTCCCGAGATGCTACTGGTAGACAGGTTAGAAAAGCTTTTAATAAATAAGTAAAATTTATCTACCCAATAGTTAGACTCAAATATTTTGACAAAGGGAAGCACTGGGTCCTGCTCTTCGTACACTGGGTGGGAGCAGGATGGCAAAGGGCTTGGGGTTTCCCTTAAAACCACCTAGAAAAGAAACAAATACCCTAAGAAGCGGCCCCAAAGAGTGCAGGGTAACTGGCCGCTCAGCACTGAGCCTGCGTCCCCAGGGGTGCATCTCATTATTTCAATGGACGCGAGTCCTAGCAGCTCCAACTGGGACTGCAGCCTGAACATACCATTTCAAATGAGCAAGCAAAGGATCAGAGTTGACGGCAGGGTACAGGATAGAAAAGTATTTAACGCTCCGTGACACACCCTCCAGTGGCATCGCAGCTCTAATTACATTTACGCAGAAGCAAGTGTCTTTGATTCAACTTGAATTCCTTCCCAAGCAAGTGTCCTGCAGATCACAAGGGGCTGGCGACCCTGTGACATTGGCAAGATTTATTTCCAAGTAAGGGAAGCTTGTGATCTCTGTGGGATGCCAAGAGTTTTGTCGTTCTCACTAGCAAGTGGGCATGTAAACCAACCTTTAAGACAGAAGGAAGGGCCAACTGGGGATTCGGGGTTTCTAACACTGCTGCAGTGGCGATTTTCAAGCTCTGGGCTGTTTGCTTTCCTGCCCAAGGATGTGTAAAACTCAACCTGCAGCTAGTGCAGCAAATAGCCAAACTATAAGAGAAGGGATGAGCAGGGCTGCCTCGGATAAGCCACCGGTGGGCTTTTGTTTGTTGGGTTGCCATACACTGGCCGAATTGCTTAACTGCTCCTTTTTCTTAATCTCCTTCCACAAAGCAAAGTAGACCAGGCAAAACTAGAAAGGGAGGCGTTGTAGCCCAAGGTAGGTCAAGAGGGAATACAACATTTAGCCACTCTGAATGAATGCAAGCCTATGGGGTGAGATTGCATCCTAGGGTACTGAAGGATGTAAGGCTATGGGAGGAGATGGAAATATTTAGCAGACTGTAACCTGAATGTGAGTCGCTCACATGATGAGATTAAAATGACCAACTTAATTCTAGACAGCAACAATCACGACAAACAAGGATTTTGCTCTTTCACAAAGCTGAATCCAGTCCTGGGCACTGCAGCTAAAGTAGTATATTGACCAGCTGGAGTATGTTGTCCACAAGAGTGTGATCAAGGTGGTGAGTGGCCTGAAGAAGGGGTCCTGTGAGGAAAGGGCTGAAAAAGTAGGGTGTGTTTCACCTGAAGAGATAATTAGCAGGTGATACATTCAAATACGGAGAGCCTGGAGGAATGTTGTCCATGGGGTCGTGATGGGTCAGGCACAACTTTGTGACTAAACAAAACAAAACAAAACAAAAATCAAATATGTGAAAGAGTGCCAAGTAGATGATGGAGAAAGTTTATTTTGGATCACTACAAGGTGTAGGACCTGAGCCAGTGGGATCAGATTACAAGATAAAGGGTTTGGCGTTAATATTAGACATGCCTTTCCTGCCATTCTTTTTATTTATTTTATTATTTATTAAAAGCTTTTGTATACCGTCCTATCATACAAGATCTCAGGACGGCTTACAATATTTAAAAAGACAATTAAAATGACAATTTCGATAAATAATAAAACAGAACAAAACAATAAATCACAAAACAAACAGAGCGACTAAACTTAAAAGCTATTAAATTTTAAAATACTGCTTAAATAAAAAGGTTTTGGCCTGGCACCGAAAAGAGTATAAACGTGGCGCCAGGTGTACCTCTCTGGAAAGTACATTCCAGAGTCTGGGCGCCACGGACTCACTTTCCCTGCTCACTTGCCATTCCTGTTACGCTCTGGTGAACCGTGGGGTGAAAAGAGTCAATTGCTCACTGGTGTGTCAGTGCAGGGCACGCACAACCTATTGCAAAGCTGTTTGCTGCATCCTGTCCCCTGCTGTGGAAAACACAGCAACCCCCAGGTCCTTCCCGGGTCTCTCAGCAGGTGGGAATTCACCTTAACTCCTGGCAGAGCAGCACAAGAGAATAGCTCCCGAAGGTGTTCGGTTCATGATGGGGAAAGCTTCTGCCCAGGAAACGGTCATCCGTATTCCCCCACGGTGGCAGAAACAGAAGGAAGAAGTTCACTGTGTTT